ATTAAGTAAAAAACAAATCATGTCGCAATTAACATTAGACGTAAAGAAATAAAATTCAGATGGATCTCAAAAGTACGATTGAGTAATCAAGGTGTCCATTGTCCAAGCACAGATCGCAGCAAACCCGAACAAATCAATGATCCCCCGCTTATGCACAGGTGAACCATATGTAAGCCGTAACACTCCGGCAATATTGTGCATGCCAGAGCTAGACATGTCGGCGTCGCTCACGACGTGACCGCTCGCTTAAACGGAATCTAACGCACCTGAACTGAGTAGATGAGACTTATATTATTTTGCGAGTATACCGAGCGTGCAAGCTATCTTTACACAAAGATGTTATCATGTCCATTTTAGTTAGTTGTCTGAAATACATATATGTAATATTCCTATATTTCTAATGCAATTTCTTTTTGGGAGTGAGGGGTGTGCGAAGACAGCAAGATAAAGAATATCGGATGGAGAAGATGGAGAATATCTTTCACTTCTACAGTGTACCTCGAATGTGTGCATACACTACGTAGCATAACTAACAAAGTCGCATTTTTTTATTTCTTTTTTTAAACACTTTTATATAAACAACAATGTTGGACACGCGTATAGTCATATACGTAATATGCACTACGCAATAAATACATGCGGACGCGGATCAGTGCAGATATAGGTACGTGATAAAATTGGTAAGAAACGCGCTCATGCGTACTGAAGCGGGTACACTAAGTGAGAGGTAGATATCGATTGCACCGTGGTATTTTCGCCAGCTCTTAATTGGCGTTAGCAATATAATAGTATTACATGTATGCCGGAATGAAACGATATACGATCTTATCGTACATATAAAGCAGGTTGCCGTAAATCGCATTACATGTACAGTAGCCATATGTGTACTAATAAAATATATCAATGTAATTTATTGTTTCATGCAATTATAAATTAAATTAGTCAGTGAATACTCAGCATTTGTCACATTTATATGTGCATATTGTTGTATATAAAAGCTTGATCGAGAGATCACAAGAATCAGTCTTAAAGACACATTTACCATACAATTGTTAGAATTACAATATGGCTGTTCTTTTAGTAAAATATTAAGAAGTTTGTAACATAAATTTTGGTTTGAATAATGTTTCATGTAATTTTTGCTTTCGCTATTATAACAACACATGTTATAACTGCATCAGGAATACGTAAGTAAATAGCAAATACACACACACACACGCACACACACACACACCACACACACCACACACACCACACACACCACACACACCACACACACCACACACACCACACACACCACACACACCACACACACCACACACACCACACACACCCACACGCACACACACACACACACACACACACACACACACACACACAAGGTGTATCTTAAATAAGTAATTATATCGTGTTATTCCTAATACAAAACTAAGTCGAAAAGTCCTCTACCATTTTGCATTTTTCGCAATAGTTAACGAGATATTAATTTCTAAAGATTGCCGAATAAACGGATAAAATTGATGTATAAGGTAAATTTTAAAATATCTTTCAGTGTTCGTTGTGAAATATTTTATGAAAATGTTTCTTAAAGACCTTTTAAAGATATATCTTAAAGTTGTCTTATACATCGATTTTAGATATTTCGCTCATTGAACTAAGAAAAATATTGCAAAATGGTAGAGGATTTTTCGACTCAGTTTTTTGTTAGGAATAGCTATATGATTAGTGAGCGTTATTTGAGATCACTCTCTATATATATATATCTGTTCTATGTATTTCAGACCTAATTTATCCTTTTTTTTATATTTATGAAATCAATCGAATATTTCAAAGATCAGAAGAAATTTAAACAAATACGTATAATATTAAAATATGTTTTAAAATATGTTTTAAAAATATGTTTTAAAATGTTTTAAATAATTTTTTCTTACAAGAACAGAGACAGTGTAGTTTTATACAATACAGTTTTTTATAATAAATAAATTATAAAATTATGTTTTGTGTATATATCCGCCTTAGTTTTTTTCTTTTTTTTTCTTTTTATTGTTATAAATTGTTAAATAATTGTTTTATAAATGAGAGTATTAAAAAGATGTCGATTTATTCCCATAAGATATACTTAAATAAATCTTAAAAAAATCATTGTTTGGATCCTCAGAAAATAGGAAATAACAATCGTTTGTTCGAGAAGTGGTAGGAACATCGGTAGAATTGTTTAAATATAATAAAAAATCATATTATTTATATATTAAGTTAATGAGTAAAAAATTATAATTTTAGCTAGAAACGTACTCTCTAAATCTTATGAAGTGTAATCTCACTCAAAAAGACTGGAATGAGATTCACTCCAAAGGAATAAAATCTCAATCCCTTTTTTAGGGTGTAATACTAGGATATCTATAGATGGAATCTCACTCTAGAAAAGGGATTAAGATTTCACTCCTTTAGAGTAAATCTCATTCCAAAAGAGTAAATCTCACTCTAAAAAGAGTGAAAATTTGCCACTCTTGAACAAGAGTGGCAAATTTTCATTTTTTTTTCAAGACTAGATGAATTTTCAATATCTTCAAATGAGATTTTACTTCACCAGATTTAGAGAATAAGTATACTCGTCTTATAAATATCGTGGACTCTACTTATACTTTAGCAGTATCCAGGATGCACCATGTGGAGGTACAGTCTATCTAGCATCTTTTGACATAGAGAATAAGACTCCACAATTCGTTATTCCTGTGGTATTTAACGACCCTAAACTCTCTTTGTCATACGTGTGTGCATATGTGTGTGCGTGCATAATACAGATGAAGTGTGAATGAATTTACGTTTCATATACGTTTTCATCAAAATCTGACAATAACGGAAAATTTACTTGATTTCAAGAAATAAGATTCAAATCAATGAAATATTGATTTCAAGAAATGACATTCAAATCAAAGCAATTTTTCTTTAACTATATAGCAACATTCATATTTTTTAAATTCAAACAATTTTTTTTAATTGAAAAAATCGCGAATTATCAAAACTTTTAAGGTCTATAAAGATCTATCAACATTTTCAAGATCTATTAAGACTTTCAAGAGTATGTAGCCTTGAAAAATATTCGAAATGTTTCAAAATAAAGGAATGATTAAATTGATTGAAAATTTGCAAGAGAGATGATTGAATATCCATCACTGCCTATCTTGCATCCACACACATTTGCAATAATTGCTTCATTCTTGATTACATTAAAGAATCAAGTAATTTTGAATTTGTTATTGCAAAAAAATCTGTACATTGACTATGTAAAGTATTCAATATCAGTAGCACCTCAAAATAGTGTACTTTTCAAAACTCAATTGTATTCTAGACGCTCAAATTCTACAAAATATTTTGTATATTTAATAAACCGAAAAAAGCCAGAAAGGGTTTGAAGTCACTGAAATATCACAAGAATAACAAAACTGTGTAATCCTATTCTCTGTCAAGAAAGGCTAGGAAGACTGTACCTCCACGTGGTGCATCCTGGATAATGCTAAAATAATCTGTGATATTTGTAAAGAATGTATTATACTTATGTTTCTCTGGCTAAAATCATTTTTCACTTATTAACCATATATATGAATGTCATTTTTTACATAAATAAAAATAAAACTGAAGGACTCTTAGTATTAAATAATAATGTCAAAAAGTAAAAAGCATATAAGAGTCAGATTTTAAAATTTACATATGAAAATATGATCATATAATTATATACTTAAATTATATACTTTGTTAATTATAAATATTACAATATACATATTACATATACAGTGGAAAGTAATGATAAATCTTTTGCATAGAATGAGTTAACAGAATGGACAAAATGGACTAAACTGAGAAGAAAAATCCTGTATCATTTTATAATTTTCGCAATGAATTATTAACTTAAAATAGCCAAATTCGCTCAGTTCACCGCCAAATGCAATTACGTGATAGAATAGAATAGCCCAGCGCGGTGAGGCGCGCGTTCGCCGTCGCTAGACAATGTCTAGCAATGGCAATTGCTTATAAACAACGTGCCTAGCGACAGTGAACGAGTGCTTTACCGCGCTGGGAGGTCGTATCCTGCGCTTGGCGATGGGCTAGACAAATTTGGCTATTTTCAAGTTTAGTTCTACCTCTATGCAAAAGGTTTATCATTATTTTCCAAACACCCTGTATGATTCGGCATCATAATTGTGCCATTTTTAGATATTTAAAATAGGGATGCATCAAATATCCGGTATCTGGTATTATCCGGCATTGTTTACTATCCGATCGGATAGTCGGATATTATTGATGTCCGAGAATATATCCAGTTGAAATTTTATGTCATCAAATCGTTGATTTTTTATTAGGTATATTATAAATGTTTTATAAATAAGTATGCATATCCATAATGCTATTATATAATATTTTATATATTGCTGAAAAATTACAATTTTTTCTCTATAGTTATCATCTCTATTGATACAGTCCATTTAACTTCTTTTTTTTTTATATTGTCCCGAAATCCGATTAGATATCCGGAAAATATCGGATATCTGACTCGAAAAATTATGTTCTCAGATATTCGAATGGATATCGGATATCCGATGTTACATTCTTTTCGAATATCCGATATCCGATAATTTTATTTGCATCCGATGCATCCCAATGCAAATTTAAAATATGCGCAATAACAATATTGTTAAATGTTAAAATTTTGTTGCAGAGAACAAACAAAAATAAAATAAAATGACCAATAACTACGGTGACCATATTTTCTTAAAGAAAATAAAGGACAAATTTGAAAATGTTAAGACTTTGTTCCTATGTTTTCAAACCAGTTTGTGACTGTTAAGAATCCGTGCATTATAAAATTTTATTGCACAGTATAATCAAATTGAAATAATGCGTAGGTTTCTGATAATTTGAAATTGGTTCGACTGTATTGGAACAATTTTTTAACCTAAAATAATAAAAGGTTCGAAATAATAAAAAATGAAAACAACTGTAGTTTGAATAAATTTAATTTTAAAAATTAATACATATAAAAAATTAACAAAAACAAATTGTATTTATATGTATGAAACTGTAAAATATTTTCCGTTCCATTAATATAATATTAAAAATTAGCTAGTTAGAAAAGAACTCGGAAAAGAATTTCCCGTCAAATAAATGACAGTAAAGAACAATATTGGAAAATAAAGGAAAATTGAGTTTTGAAGAAACAAATAAATATAATGAACAGCTACCTAAAATAAAGGATTGTCCTTTACAATAAAAGTCGTATAGTCACCGTACCAATAACCGTAACCAACAATTAGGGAGAACGAAACTGCTCACACTCGATTAGAAGATCGGATGTTGTAGAATTATTTCCAAGTGTTCTAATTATTAAAATGAGATTGAAATTAAATGACATGCAAGCAAAATCGTCTAATTTGAACTTATTGAAATGACCATACAATTCTTCACATAAATTCG